GAAAAATTAATTGTATAAAAACGAGTCACTTAAAGCCATCTTTTACTTTGTCTTACAAACACATCTGCAGCCTGCACATATTTAATAAGAGTAATCAGTTCTGTACATTGAAATATTCTGAGCCAGCTGTTCCACTGTGACCAGGCTTCAGCAAAATGCTTTTGATGGCTCAACTCGAGGACTTTGGTGTTTAACAGAGGCAAATTTCAAATAAGATCTAAAATATACTTCTTGTGTTTATGCTTATGAAACGTTTCTGTCTGTTGCTGTGCTGTTGAGTGTGTGCCTGATCTGTTAGTTCTTAACTAAATGTGTGAGGTTTTGCAGAACTAAACCTTTGATATACAAAGAAACAGCTAGACCCAGCAGAACTGGTTTTCTTTTATCTTAAAATTGTGTTGGTCCCTTTTTTTGTCATTGCAATTTTTTATTTTGCTATTATCCCTTATCTCTTTAGGGTCCATCTTTGCTATGATTTTTGTCAAGAATTTTTTCTGAACGGTGCAGCTGGTCCATAGTATTTAATGTGGCAGAGAATCTGGACGTGTAGGGTCATGACTTGTGCTGCTTAAGGATTTTTGAATGTCCTTCTCTTAGAGACCTCACACTTGGGGTTGGTTTTTTGTTGGTTTTTTTTTTTTTTTTTTTTGGTGGGGGGGGGATGTTTTAAAGAGGCTGAACCCCTTTTAGAAAAGGGGGGAAATAGTGTCACCATGCAACTCTTCTTTGCTACAGCAGCAGGGTTACTAATTTAATACCTTGATTTATAACAGTATTGTAATCTATGAAGCAGGTGGAGTTACAACTGGTTACGGTACTTTGGATATTAATGGCTTGGCTTGGCAGTGGAATTCTAAAGCTGTATATACTTTTGCTGTTTTAATTATGCATTCATTAAAAGCTTTTATACCCAACAGAATAAAGTAAATATTGTTTGATCTCCGTAGTGTGCTCCCAGACTGTAGATTTGCACAGCAGGGTCTTGATAATCTGAATAAATTGTATTTCCCCAAGGAGTTTATCTTTCAAATAAGGTCATAAAGAAATTCATTCTTTCCCCTTAGTTCTCCTTGTGCTTTTTCTGCTATTTATAATATGGAGCACAGGAATAGAGTATATTGTAGTCTGCTGTGTACTTGGTTATGATTAACTCTAATTTATCAATCTGTTACATCCTTTTCTGTGGCTTGTGCAAGGCAATTATTCTTTAAAGTATGAACAAATAAAGATGGTTTTGGAAGCAACTTAAACAGAACGTTTATATCTGGTTTTCCTGTTTGACAATTTATCATATTTCTATATTAAAATACACCTCTGTATCAAAATATTCACACTGTCACGTCATTTATTTTGAATATTTAATATTGTCATCTTTCAGATGATGTTTATTTGTAGAAGATATTTTCTTTTATGAGTCTTTTAAATGTCAGCTTATTGTTGAATTGGTTTGGCATCTGAAGGTTGATACTACTGAATCAGAAGACCCTTAGTATGGAATAATAGATTCCCTTGCTTCATGGGGGGGATGCACACTAAGTAGAATGCATGGGTTCTAAGCTAGTTTCTTATTTTAGAAGTAGATACTGATAAATAATTTGGACAATTTACTAAATTTGTTTGAGTTCACTGTGAGAATTCTGAACTATTTCAACTTAGTTTTAAGGGCTGTACCTGTAATTTTATACATATTTTCTTAGCCTGAATGTGTTTCAGCAGTGTAACATGCATCATATTAGAAAAGATAGGATCACTACCTTCAGCTCTTAGTGACAGTTCTGCTTGTGTCCATATTTTGTCCTTCAGTTCAAAAAAGATAAGTGGCATACGCATAAACGTTTATGACAAAGGGGTTAAAAGTTTCAAAAATTTACATAAGCCTGGTTTCAAAGAATATATACTGCAATACAATACCACAAGAAAGTCACACGCTATTTCAAAATTTTGTAGTTGCTCTGTGAATGCAATATAATAAAATCTGTGGAAAGCAGAGACTGCCAGTACTCTTACTCATGAATACACCTAAACTTCCTGTTTAGGAGCCTATTTCACCATTTACCAAAGTTTTTAATTCAATTAAGATTTTAGTGTGAAAAATTTATTCGAATCAGACTGAGCTGACAGTGATTGCTTTGATCCTTCCTGTGGGACTTTTTTTAATGCTAGAAGATAAGGTGCATTTTTTTCTCGCAACTAATTTATATACTTCATTTTAGACTGTTTTTGAAAGTTTTACCACTTATAAGAGCAAAGTTATGTTATCTAGTGTATACATTGAGCAATCTTGATGTGACACTTTTGCCCTCTAGGATCATAACTGAGGAAATAATGTATAGTACTGTATAAACTTGATTTTCATTTGTAAAACCTAATGCAATATTTGTCTCTTTGTGAAATACAAACCTGTAGATCAACTCTAACCTTACAAAATCAGAAATTAACATTACCGATTCCAGGCCAAGGCCAGTTTTAACAAAACATACTTTCAGTATTCATTAACAAGTAGACTGTAAGTTCAGCAAGTAACTAACACATTATGTCAGGAAGCATCAAAAATCATCTGAAACTTAGCAATGAAAATAAGTAAACACATAACACCCCCCACCTTTCCAAAAAAATAAACCCACATAGATAAATGAGCACACAAAATAAGTTACTCCATGCAGTATAAATAACTGGTGTGATTTTACTTATACATCCATAAGTATATTTGGCCTCTTCAACTGTAAGGCAGCTTTCATAAAACCACCTTTGATTGCTGCTGATTTAAGAGGATAGGGGAGTTTGGAGCTCATGAAAAATATCCAAACCTAAAATGAAGGCTTACCAGCATCTTTTAGATTTCACTGAAAATGTGAAGGTTTTTCAGGGGTAGCTTTGCATTTGTGTATCTCATTTCTGGTTCTTTATAATAAGGATTCTGTTATCTCCAGTATTTTCTTCCTCTGAAGTCTGCTAAAAGCCACCTCTCCTTCTCAACCAGAACTTAGTGGGGTTTGACCAGGCGCATATTTTAGTGGGACTGTTGATCCTCAGCTCACAGTGCTTGATTATCTATCTATTTATTTATTTACTTCCCTAGACCTAACCACTGACCACAAAAGAGCTCAATAAATATGCACTGAGCTCTTCTAAATTTCTTTCTGGCATTTGGGATTTATTCAATTGGTGGGTTATTTGAAAAGGTAGTTTTCTGAACCAGGGACAACAAACTGTGGTTGTTGCTTGTTAAATACTGTGATGGTTGTTGCTTGTTAAATACTGATACTTGGATTAGACTCCTATGTATTGTTGCCACCATTGCATGGCCATCACAGGAATGGGGATATGAGATCTGAAGATACAAAATTGGACCAGATACTTTTCATGTAAAATTCATTCTTTTCTCTTTTTTTCTGCAACTGCAGATTTAGTCTTACCTCCGCTGTGTTAGTGTGAGGAGGAACTGACACTAGAATGGCTGTGGCTTTTGGGATGATGGCTGTTAGTGCTTGTTCTGACAATGGAAAGAACTTACGTTTGTTCTTCCAAGAAAATCATGGGAAACTCTCATGCAGAAGTCCGAGTAGATAATGAATAGGATTTATCTTCAGTGTACAACTCTGCTAGGGAAGGTGAGCTGCTCAGACTGGGAGATTATGTAACAAGCAGGAGCCTCCACAGGAATTTGATTCCATTTCCTCCAGTACTGACTCCTCTAAGCAGGTTAAAAAATTCTTTCTCCACTCTCCATTGCATATGCATAAACAGCTCCACAGTCATCGGGACAGGCACCCAATTCACACGTTCAAGATATAGTCCATAAAAGATTCCAAAAAAACCCCTCTTCGCACTTTCCCATCTTCCCTGTTGCTCTGCTCTATCTGCCAGCCGTGCAGCTCATTTGACATTTACAAGATTTCTTGTCAGTTTCATTTGGTGCTGCCATTCCATCCAGCAGAGCAGTGAAAGTGAAATTGACTTAATTTAGTCTGTTTCTCTTCCTTGCTCCAGTCCCCGCGTTAACTCACCAGCAAAGTGAGACTGACGAGGCTCCTTGTCATTCTCACACATGGGGCTGGTCAAGGGGAAGGCAGCTGATAGGGAGCAATGCGGTAAATTGGAAGATGAAAACTGGGATTGCGGAGGAGAGAGGAAGAGAGGTGTGAGCATGCAGCAAGAACAGAGAAAATGGGTAAACATGATTATTTCCCAGGTGCCCTGGGTACTTTTGTCTAATAGAGGTGAATTCTTGGCCTGTTCCCTGAAGGGAGTAATGTGGTCTGGAGCAGCAGTAGTTAGTTGTCTAGGTACTAATTTATGAGGAATGCCAAGTTGAAAACGTTAGCCCATAAATATTGGTCGTCTGTTAGCAGGATGGGCAAAGCTTTCTGCCTTGAGCTACTATAGCTTTTGTCTCCTCACATTTTCAGCTGCTAGAAGGGGAGAGAGAGAAGGAGTAGGAGGCCAACATCCACTATATTTTGATGGCAGTGGTTGGAGAAAAAAAAAGGGTTCATTTGCTCAATGAAGAAAAATTCATATGTAATAAAATGTAGCTCAGCATCTTGTATTTTGTGAAAAGTTCTGCTACACAGGTGCTCTAGTTCAATCAAAACAGTAAATAATAACAAAAAATTGCTTTGTAACAAACCATTGTAGTTAAAAAATGCATTTTTTAAATCCACTTGTTACCTCTTGTGAGCTCTTGACATGCAGTGTAAATCATGCTGGTTTATTTTATTATGTACTGATCCATATTTCTTACAGATGCTTTATGCATATATAACTTTAGGAGTTACAATATAAATTAGTACTATCATATATATTTGCATATGCAATGGCAACACATATACATTTTGAATGAGGCTGTGTTAATTAACTTCAGATTATATTGCCTTCCTTCTTCACAGCTCCAAAAGAATAACCTTTTTTCATTATCTGAGAACTGTAGATTTTTATATTCTCTGTCTTGTGTTTGGGATATTTTTGTGACATGTATTTTGTTTGCTTTATCCATTTAGGAATTAAATAGTTTTAATTACTTGGACCTGTACAAGCTTGCGGATCTTTTCAACCTCACTTTGTTGGAGAATGCAGTCATTGGCTTCTTAGTAAAACATCTCTCTGAGCTATTGAAGAGTCATCCTGAGGAAGTTCTGGCACTCCCATACTGTCTTCTTCGAGAGGTTTTTAAAAGCGATAGACTCACTTCACTCAGTGAAGAACAAATCTGGCAGGTAAGGAGTGGTGAACAACCAGAATGTGTGACACTCTATAAACCATAGCAGTAATCTGTTGTTTTGAAACCCTGGAGCAATCTCGAGGGAAAATAAGCACTTGAGCAAAAACTGTGAATAACAACTGCGGGAAATTTCTAAACGAAATTCTAAAAATGTTGTGTTGTGTTAATGCAATTACTTTGTTTGAAAGAGAATTTGTCATGCTGTTTAACTTCTGCTACTTAAATACAGACAGAGATTTTCCTCCAGATCCAACTTCTTTGATAGGAAGTGATGGCTGATGCATGCAACTCAATTATAATTGCCTCTGATGAAGCTAGTGCCACGAGTCTGGTGGCAAACATGCTTCTGTAGTCTCTCTCATTCACTTCAGGCAAATTTAGCTGTATAACTTAAATAGTCATTGAAATTGGTTGGGCCACCACAGCTGACTTTGCCTGAAGCAAATGAGACAATCATCACACAGGAAGCACTGTTGCAAGATGAGTGGAATCTTCAATGGAAGGTTTGTGGCAAGTAGCCTGAGATCACTTCCTTTTAAAAAGCTGGGTCTAGAAAAGGACCAAGTTGCTAGTCATAAAGTATTGACAAGATAAAAGCATTGAGTTGTGGCCTTTAGAGTGTATGGGCTGGAAGAAAACCTAATGTGAGAGAAACACATAGCCTATTAAGAGAAACACAAAAACTAAACCAAAATTTTCCTTGGAAATGTTCCCATTGTATGTCTGTAAAAATTCACTACGGAGCGGAAGGAAATATCTGTAATATTGTTAACCCAAAGATATTTTTCTATTTCTATTTTTCTGGTTTTTTGTTATCATGTTTTAGAGAGGAAAGTATTTCAGTGTATTTCAAGATAGAAGGAAACTTGCTGAAAAGAAACCTGTGCATTCCTTTTAGGAAGTGGATTATATTGGTCCAACAGAGAAGACTGTGATTCATAAAACTGATTTATTTTTCAATCCCTATTATTTATCTATTCATCTTTTAGATTATTCTGAGGAGATAAGTACATTTAGATGCTATCAATTTCTTAAAGTGTAAAGTGTGTATTCATCAGTGGGATGCTTCATGTTCTGTGGATGAATAATGTCATGCAGGATAAAATATGTATTATTAAAAAAAAAAAAGTCAGGTTAACCAGTATGAAGATATAACATAACCCTTCAGTTATGTAGCAGGCATATTTTTTTTTCAAACTTCTGAGGCTTTGCATTATAGGATATCTTACAAAGGTGATATTTTCTGCAAATGCCAAAATGAAGTTTGACTTTTTCCTGTCCTAGTCCCTGGAGGATGCCTGTACAGCAGAACCTGCAATACACTACACATGATGATGGGTTGTGGTTTTTTAGGTTTTTAAGGCACACTACTCTGGAGTCCTAGCCCATATTCCCTTTATCAGAAGAAAGTTTTCATGTACAAGTTTATGCATGGGGCAGGGATGATTTGCTGATTGGGTTTCATCACCATTTCTCTGCAGAGCCAGTGGAATCCCCTAGCTACATGCTTGGGTATGCTCCCGCTAGAAGAATTTCCGTAGGAAGCCAAGCCGTACAAGTATAACTCAATACTGGCTCAGTACTATGCCTCTGTAATAAATATGCCTCTGCTATAATGATGTTTGGGAAGTGGGAGTTTTCAAGTCCTGTTCTGCAAGACTCAGACTCGGAAGTAATTTTCTTAATTGTGTGCACTCCAGTCAATGAACACTTCATGAGGCAAATGTGACAAAGCCTCTGTTTCTGTTGCAGGGTCATACTGGGGAGAGATAGGTAATGTGCTGCTTTCTGAGTGACAACAAACTCCACACTGTCCATTTAAGTGTTATCATAATAGCCTCTCTAAAGGTTACTACTGCTGTTCCGAAGAATTTTTTTAAACTAGGTTTCTGCTGCAGGCAAAATGTGCATGCATCTTTTTAATTCAGTTTGTAAAACCAAGAATAAATATATATTTGTAAATATTCTAGGTTCCCAGAATGGATTAAAAGACACATATAAATATTTACCAATTTGGGCATTCAGAAGGCAATAAGAAACTGGTTTCTTGCTTTATCTTAGTAAATAAGTAATTCCCTCATAGTCAGCCCAATAGAAGAAAATCAAATCAGACCAGCTATATTGCCTCAAGTGTAGTTAAGTTCATCATTTTTGCTAAGGTTATAGTGGTAATGCAATATACCATGGAAGAATCTAATATTCAGCCCAGGGTGAAGATTGGGTATGCCAGAGGATTAGTGTCAGGGTGCTTTATAGAAGTGAAACTTGATGGACAGGCTGGAGACAGATCTACAGAATCTCATTAAATTGCTGAATTGTTCATTACTGAGCACTCTCACTGTAATAAAGTGCTCATTGACTTTGACAAATCCCCATCCCATGTCTTAAGGAAGAACAGCAAAGCAAGAGGTGTTGGGGAAGCTGGAGGAAATTTGCACAAAGTGGGGCAGATAATAGAAAAGCTGATGGGGGGATGCTACCATTTGATTTGTCTGTCTTACCTGTGACTAGTGTGGCCTCTGAACACACACATGGCTGGGTGTCACAGCAATATGAATTCAGCATGTCCCCAAGGCACCTTTGCTAGTAGGGCCACCATGAAGCCCTAAGCACAAATTAAAGCTTCTCTCAGAGAACCTCAGGAAAGGGTGCCACTGTCTGCAGAGCAGAGTTTTTTACACCAGTTTGAATTTGCAATGTCCACTGGGTGATGTGATCCTAGTGTACATAAAAATTATGGTGGTTATTTTAATGCATCAAAAGGTGTACATGGAGTGATGCTTGAATATTATTTAAATGAAGTGATTGCAGCTCTTACCTGTCATACTTGGGATTTTTCTAGGCTACCAATTCACAGTTGGCTAGTTCTAGTGAGTATGATGAAATAGAACTGTGAACAAACCAAGTCTGAGAAAGTTAAATGATATTAGTGGCAGTGCGCTAGGCTATGGGTTACTGCCAACTACTACAGAAATTCCTGCTGATTTTTCAGACTCTTTGGCTTGATGAGTCTTCTTTTAAGTGGAGACAATAGACAAAGACTATAGTGATGTGTTTCTTAAAAAAAATAAAAACCAAAATCCCCACCAGAAAGCCTGTATAGGCTGTGAAATTGGATCAATTTATGAGCCTCTTCAATCAGGTCTTTTTTAGGTAAGCTAAGACAGTAATTATGATTATTCATTGACATAAGATATGTTTTCATGTTGATTTTTACATTTAATTAGCACATGAGATTATGAATTTTTTTTTTACATAAGAAATTTTTGATTTGTAAGCTGCATTAAAAGGTGTAAAGTTAAGACAGTGACACAAAAAAAGGATGAAATAAAAAAAATGAAGAAAACGAAAGAATCATGAAGAAGGTGGAAGAAAAGAAACTTTTTTTTCAGGTTTGTTCTTCTTCATCACAACCTGTGAGGCACTCTTCTTTTTTTTTTCACAGGATGCAGTCTTGACAAGGACATAAATGTCTAGTTTATCATGAAATGAAAAGTGAATCTTATAATAATTGACTGTTACAAGAAGTATTCATTAGCTGTACTTCAAGGAAGCAGGTGAATTCTTTGCCTTGGTAATTGAAAAAGTAACCAACCCTGTAAGATGGAACAAGTTTGCCAGAGAAATATAGTGGTAGAGAGCTTGTTGTTGCAATCTTAGCAGGTAGAAAACAAACCAAAGATTTAAATAAAAAGCTAATGTTAGCTTTAGTTATGATATAATTATGCTTTATACTTTTTATTAGAAACTTCAGTGTTAATATCCTATAATATTCATCTTTCAAATATCCTACTAACAGAGAAATATTTACTGGACTATTCTGTCTCCCTACTATTCTGCAGTAGATTGGTCAAATTAGAAATATTTACTGGACTATTCTGTCTCCCTGCAGTAGATTGGTCAAATGGTTCTGTATTAAATACTGCACTTGATCCAAGTTGGATTCCTAAATCATATTTGGAAAAAAAATCTTAAGTGAGATCAGTACAGGTTAATTTCTTCCATCTCTGCTTCTCTTTAAGTAGGTTGTTAAAGGATACATATTATTTTTAAATAGCTAACAATAAAAGCAGATAAATTTTAGTATTTGTCAATACTTCAGAAGCAAGGTTAGAAGTTTTGTCTTGGCTTTCTTTGGTTTCTTTTATTTCTTTTGCTAAACAACGTGGTTACTTGGTAATAAAATGATAAGCAAGCAATCTAGGAAAAGCTGGTAGATAAAACTGCATGAGTAGTTTATTCAGCTAGTATCCATGCAAATGTGTTGTGCCTTTTCCAAGGCATTCCTAAGACATTCTAGTCCTGTTAAATTCCTTGTGTGCAATTTCTGCATTTGTGTTCATGAAGTACGTGTTCCATGTGTGAAAGTGTAACACCGGTTGTTCCTTTTATCCTGTGGATGTGCAGAAACAGTGTTTGGTCTCTGTATTGGAGAAGTGTCTTTGCTTGAATAAATAGAAAAATGAAGGACAAGAAGACTGCAGTGTTATAGGTCAATATGAGCTTGTAATGTATTTTCTATAAAAATAGTAAGTGTACAAATCCCATTTTCTTATTACAGTCCTGTTTATCCTCTTCTGTGCCCTATTTTCAAGAGTCTTTCCTTGCACTTGAGCTCCATTTTGGATTTCCTGATGGGATTTGTGAAGGGCCAAAATTATTCTTCAGCAGAAATCCCACAGTTCAATGCCATAGGAAATTTTGTGGTGTACACATTGTGACAGCTTGCTATGATGGAACATAGCTATGATCTGTGCTGATGACAGATCCAAAGACATCTTCCATACATCTCCAATGGTGCACACATTTGCCTATGCAGAACAGCAGTTTCTAAAGTGGGTTGTAGTATTCTGGTACAAGCTTGCCATTCCTTCAGATCAGTACTTGATTTTTTTTTTCTGTCAATCTTTTGGTATTGCCGAGCAATTTTTCATATGGAGAAAGCAGAAGTCATTTTTCTCAGGAGCATATATATATTTTAATGAAATGTGGACT